TATATATATATATATATATATATATATATATAACTTATTTGACTTGAGAAGCTCGAGACATTTCCAGCATTCTATATTCTGGTTTTCTTAATACATCTAGTTTTCTGTTTAAAGCGCCTTATTATCACGAGATTTATTGGCCTCTACTTGTTCTCTCAGACGGTATGACGGACCCTAGTTTGTTAAAAATTATATCTTCGCAAAACTGGGAACCGTCAGCAATCGTCTTAACTGGGCAACATGATATATTGTCTGAGAAGCAGCTTTTGGAATTTTTGACGAACCAGCGTTTTGCTGGTAAAGCAGGCCACTGTATAGTTATACAGGTAATGTTATTTGTAGTTTGTTAGTATACGAGACGATATGTTGTAACAAAGTCTTTTAATTTTTGTCAGCCTTTCTTTTTATGTTACCTCATTACTTTTTTGCTATTTCAGCACCCATTTGTTGCGGAAAAGTTTAGCGTTGACAAGCTGATCGAATTATCTAAGGGTTTGGTTGAAGAGTTAGTTCTGTTTAAATCGGCTTCAGCTCCGCCTGGGTCGTAAGTTTTTTTTTAATTTTGTTGCGAAAATTTTGGTTTGGGTTCACCACCAACTTTTATCTCTGTCGAGTGCTTCCCGCAGAAACCCTTTGTCTTTATTTTTCCCACTACCTTAAGGGGATTTTCGAGGGCACTCTGATTTTTCTTTCTGGTTAGAAGCTGAAGAGAGCAGTATTTTTTAAATGAATTTGAATTTAGATCCGCGGTGGAAGTTACGGATAGAGGTTTACATGATTTTGCCGAGTACGGACGTTGTATATACTTTCCTTCAAATAAGAATGTGTCTCTTTCGGGGATTCAGGATTTTATAAAAGTAAGCTTCTACGGTATTGTGGCGCCTTGACTTTAGGACTCTCTTCTTGCCGCTTTTTTTTTGTCCGTTGGGTCAAAATAATAGTGCAAGATTGAATCATTTTTTATGATTGATCACTTAGAATTTTTGTTGCAATTTACATGAATTAAAGGCAGTGTAATTGTAACCAGTTTGTGAATTTAATCTTGGACCAGGTTCTCGAAGTTTAGTGTAAATCGAGTATATTTCATGTTTTTCTACAAAGGAGGCTCAAAGAAAACGAATGTGATTACGCTGGCGAACTTTGCACTACAGTTTCGGATGTGATTAATGCAACTAATATTGCAAAATTATCGCCGAGTTTCGATGGAGTTGAGTTAAAAGTAGAATATCGCCATGGCGAGGAACAATACGGCTCTGTGGTAATTCCTTACACCAAACGTCAAAGGAATTATACTGCTAAGTACATCAATAATTTTGTTGTCTGCTTAACTTTCGTAGGATCTTTGATTTAGGATTCTGTGAAGGCGGCAGGGACAGGCGTCATAGTTTATTCTTGCGCGAGGGACTTATTATTGGTTCGTATCATGTCAGTACAGGTAACTTTTGCCTAATACTTACGTAGCATTGGCCCTGTGATGTTACGAAGGTTTTTTAGGATTACTCTGAAAAAGTTGCCAACTATCGGAAAATGAGTGTCCCTACTAATCATTCTTGGATAATAAGTGACTCAGAAATTGATTCGCTGGGCGATGGGGACGAATTTGACTACAATGGCGTGAGCGATTATGATTTTAGTTTTGATTATGATTATGATTACGATTACGAATATGAAGAGTCTGAACATTATGGTGAAATGGTCTCCTCAGATTAAAATAGTTTGTTACTTCAGATGTAGAAAAGAGAATTAGTTTTTGATACGACAGTGGTTTGCCTCTCTTGATCTCTTGCAAGACAGAGAGGATGCTTCCGCATTTCTTCATGTCATTGGTTAGTGATCATGAGTACCATTTGTTTATGCCACCTAATAAATTTGTTACTGACACAATCAGCAGTGCATATTCTTATCACTAGTTGAATGTGTCTGATTTATTTGCAAA